AGTAAAAACTAGCTCAGAAAGCTTTGCCAACCATGTTTCTCGAGGCCGCGTGGTTGCCGCAGGAACCAGAGTGAATTTCAAGTAGTTTCACTCCCTCTTCTTGGGTGATGCATTTCTGCAATATCCCTTCCTTGGCACTTTTCCTCATCAAGTTGCCATCCACCAGCACATAATGCTTGCTTCGATGGATTAGGCATTCGGTTTTAGTCTTGTTGGCGGGTACTTCGGCGCTGGTGAGGTACTTGATGAACTATTCCCTCCAATCGGCGGCCGGTGAAGGTACCGTAAGTACCAGCAGCGCGGCGGGGGGAATTTCCTGAACTTCCTTTTCTTCCTTAATAGATGGCGCCAAAAGATCTTGAACGAAGACCCCCGGCGGAATCATGGCGCGAGAGGAGCCAAACTTGGATAGGTGGTCGGCGAGCTGATTTTGATCTCATACCACGTGGTGGTACTTCAAGCTTCCTGATTTCAGCGCAATATGCATCCATCTTATCACTGGAGCAGGACCAGTCTTTGTTGAGCTGGTTGATGACCAGCACAGAGTCCCCGTATACCATGAGGCATTTGACGCCGAGCTGGTTGGTGATTGTGATCATCTCGCCAATCCCTGTGGGTGGCTTGCGGTTGAACTTGGAGCGAAGCTCATGGTGATGGAGTCCTCGAATGAAGGCGGTGATGACCTCAGCTTTTGTGATGTTGGGAATAGAATTTCTCATCTCAGAAAAGCGTCTGATGTAGCTACGGAGGAGCTCGGACGACTCTGGTAGATGCGGTTCAGATCATGCTTGGTGCCCGGCCGAGTGCACGTAGTGATGCATCCGGCCCAGGTGGGGTTGGCCGAGGCCCAATAAATTAAGGTTGCCCGGACCCCAACAGTTCTCAGGCACACCCACTCGGGGAAAGGCCCAATGTCCCTAAAAGACTAGTCCAATAGGGGAAGGGTAGCTCTCCCTTTTAAGGTGTCTTCCTCCTCCCAAGCTAAGCAAGGTGGGATTATTCAGAGGCTCACACGGTCGCCGCCCGACTACAACTAGGCCACTTGGCCCCTTTGTTGCATCTTTGCCAGCGGTTAATAGTGGAGGATGTCCTCATCATTCCCACCCCCTTAAACAAGGGCCCAGCTCTGATACCAAATGATGCATCCGGCCCAGGTGGGGTTGGCCGAGGTCCAATAAATTAAGGTTGCCCGGACCCCAACAGTTCTCAGGCACACCCACTCGGGGAAAGGCCCAATGTCCCTAAAAGACTAGTCCAATAGGGGAAGGGTAGCTCTCCCTTTTAAGGTGTCTTCCTCCTCCCAAGCTAAGCAAGGTGGGATTATTCAGAGGCTCACACGGTCGCCGCCCGACTACAACTAGGCCACTTGGCCCCTTTGTTGCGTCTTTGCCAGCGGTTAATAGTGGAGGATGTCCTCATCATTCCCACCCCCTTAAACAAGGGCCCAGCTCTGATACCAAATGATGCATCCGGCCCAGGTGGGGTTGGCCGAGGTCCAATAAATTAAGGTTGCCCGGACCCCAACAGTTCTCAGGCACACCCACTCGGGGAAAGGCCCAATGTCCCTAAAAGACTAGTCCAATAGGGGAAGGGTAGCTCTCCCTTTTTAGGTGGCTTCCTCCTCCCAAGCTAAGCAAGGTGGGATTATTCAGAGGCTCACACGGTCGCCGCCCGACTACAACTAGGCCACTTGGCCCCTTTGTTGCGTCTTTGCCAGCGGTTAATAGTGGAGGATGTCCTCATCGCGTAGCCATGTAGTTGTCGGTGAAGACCTTTTTCAACTCTTCCTAGGATCCGATGGAATCTAGGGCGAGGCTTGTAAACCAGTTCATGGCAGTTGGCGTTAGCATGACGGGGAGATAGTTTGCCATGACACTGGTGTCTCCTCCGACGGCGCGGACAGCAGTGGCGTAAGCCTATAGCCACTGTGTTGGGTTCATCCTTCCCTCATAGGGCTCGACCCCAGTGATTTTGAAACCATGAGGCCACTAAAGTGTTTGGAGCGCCCTCGTGAATGCTGGGGGCCCTTCGGGGTTGTCGGCACCATCGTCTACAGCGTTGCTGGCATTGAGCGGCTCGAGAGCTGAGTTTGGGTTACTGTACTCTTGCTCGTACTCCTGGCGGTGGCGTACTTCTTCTTCATGGCGACCGAAGCGGCATTCATCGATACATTGTCGTGCATCTCGGATATTGTTGAGGTGCACTCAGACGTCCTGGTCGACCTCCTGGTCATGTTGGCTGTGATGTTCAATGCGGTTGCCCCTAGCTCCTCCTTGGAGAGGCTGCCTGTCATCACGGTGCTGGTCGGTGAAGCGCCTTGGCGACGATCGGATCTTGGCGCAGCTGATCGGCGAATCAAGGTCATGGAGTATGAAGGTCTCTGATCCTGGCGGATCTCATTGACCTGATAGTGCGCCGCTTTAAGCATGGCGGCGACCTTGGCGACCTCTGGTGTCTGTGGGAGCCGGGCGAGCTCGTTGGTGGCCACGGCCAGGTTGGCGCTTGGGGTCTTGTAGACGTCGTGGCCGTCGACACGGACAAACTCATCGTCAAGATTGTGTTGGAGTGGCCTTCCTTGCGAGTCAAGCTGAGCCTCGGCCATCGTAAGGGCAACCTCGTTTGCTCGGCGCTGCGTACGGTTGACGTTCCAGTTCTCACGAGCGGCGCATTCCTCCTTGGTTTCTCCGTTCCGAGGGGGGCTGTCGACGCTGACGTTGAAGATTGCGCCGCCACGGAAAGGAGGGAGAGGAAGTAGTTCGGTGGTGGTCTCGACGATGGTCTCCGTAGAGCCCTGGGACTCGAAGTCTGGATTCTCCTTAGGATGGTTTGGAGGGATGCTCTGGGGTGTCGGCCGACGTGCAGCATGTTGACGAGCAGCGGAGGCTAGTCGGCGATCTGGTCGGCGGGAGGTTGGACATCTCCAACCTGGTCGGCGAAGTTGCCCCTTAGGACATCCTGGTAGGCGGCGGCGTTGGTAAGCCCGAAGGGCAGAGCTGCAACCCCTGGAGTTTTCCGAGCAGCCTCCGATAGATCTGGATCGGAGGGTGGTCGGCACTGAACCAGAGTGCCCAGAGCCAATTCGGCGATAGAGGGAATCGGCAAGCTTCTGACCAACCTGATCGATGGATGCGATCAGATCGTCGTTGTTGATCTGCCTCCTCTGGTAGCGAGGGAGCGGGCGGCGAGTTGTCGATGAAGGCGACCTCGGAGGTGGTTCCGAGATCAGATCTACAGTCACAGGTGTTGGGGTGATCGACGTAGAATTGATATGCACCAGCTCGATGAGCTCTTCGACTCCATCAGCGTTGATGATCCATGAGATCGATCCGACCAAGAAGATCTGGCCAGGTTGCGGGAGGGACGAAGAGCCTGCGGAACGTACCATCTTGTTCGATATAGAAACAGCACGCACTCCCCTACCTGGCGCGCCAACTGTCGATAGAATATTATCGGCAGACCTCCGAGGGGTATCTCACGAAGGTAGATTGATCGGCAGAGAGACATGTAATGAAGAACAAGAAGGCAACAGAGACACACGAGTTAGACAGGTTCAGACCGTCAGTATGACGTAATACCCTACTCATGTGGTATGTTGGTTTGTATTGGCTATCGTATGATATTACGTGAGTTTGGAGGGAGTCCCTGCTCGCCTTATATAGTCTGGGGGGCAGGGTTATAAGTCGGTTAGATCTGAGAGATAACCGAAAAGTAATAATAGATTACAGGAATCATGGGATCATACGTATCCTAACAGATCTCGTACTATCTTCAAGATATCTTCCCGGTGTCTTGCGAGAGGCGCCGAACATAATCGTGTCCCGTAAGGCTTCGTTTTATGGGCTAGGCCGCCCCTGGAGGCTATGCCCATATAATCTGCCGTGGGTATCCGGGATCGCACACCCCAACAGCGCAGATCCGGCGAGCCCTGAAGAGGCGAAGACGCTAGCACGCAGCAGTAGCCTCGCCGGCGGACCAGGAGGAGCACGTCGTCACACGCTCAGCAGGTCCGGCGTTCAGGCCATGCCCCATTCTTCTGGCTCTGTGTGGTCCTTCTAGAAAGGTGCGTCTTCTCTTTGTACTTCGCTGGTGATGTGATGGATCATGGTGCTCTCTACGTGCTTGTTGAATTGCCTGAGTAAAAGGTGTGTCCAGATTGCCTATGAGTAATTGCAGTCTATTTACGAAAAAGAATTGAATTATTGTGACTTGAAATTGTAGTTTTAGGATGAATCACGGTTATCAGTTCCTTTCTGTGTGATACTGTTTCTAAGTTTGAATCTTCCAAGTGATCGGTTTTAGTTTCTTTAATAATTGATTAGTACACAATGAAATGCCTCGATTTTGGTATAACTTATGTGAGATTAGCTTTAAGCCTTGGCATAGACTGTTGACGAGTCTCATGGTATAACTTATGCATAATTTTCTCTAACACACTTAGCACCTATTGCTAGGGGTGAAAATGGTACGGATATTTTCCGACCGTATTCGAGACCGAATCCGTTTAGAGGAGTTCAAATCTGTCCGTATCCGAGTCCGGATATTCAACATCCGATACCGTATCCGTATCCGAATAATCAAATCGCATATTTATGATGTCGATATCCAATCGTATCCTATCCGTTATGGTTGACAATATCCGTATTCGAATCTGAATCCGAACAGAAATATGAAAACAAATGTAATATCAGTGATATCCGTTCGTATCCGATCTGTTTTCATCCATACCTATTGCACTAAAAAACTTATAGGATGAACTGGAAGCAGAACTTAAAGAACTGGAGGGAGCTGAGTTGGAATCTCAGCTTCTGGAGCATGTCCCAGCCAACAAGCAACCAGCTCGCCCTGTTCCACATAATGCTAAGCCTCGTTCGTGTGTCCTTAAACCTGGCTTGATCCGCTTCTTTTTTTCATCAGGAACAGTGTTTTTCTCTCACAAATTCCTCCAGCATTCCTCCAAACCATCTAAATTCCTCCAGAATTCCTTCAAACGAACAGGCCCGATGAGCTTGCTGCAGTCCAAGCAGCAATGGCATTGTGATCAGGTCATTATTTGATTCATTTGTACATCTTAACAGCCTGTTCGTTTGGCTGTGGCTTGTCGTATACGATCGTAAATTTTCAGCCGGAACAGTATTTTTCTCTCACACAAACCAGCCAGTAGTACTACTTCACGAATCAACAACGATACGAACCAGCCAAACGAACATGCTGTTAGTGTCTATTTGATGTTGGTTTCATGGGACTAATTCACTGGTGCCTATTGGCTAAATCTGAATAATGATGTGTCCAACAGGCTGTATAGCAGTATTTGTTTTTTTTTTGAAGGTCGTATAGCAGTATTTGTTGTTGATCCGATGTAGAAGTGTGCATATATTAGCTAGATTTTAAATTACTCCACGCTGATGCTTTGGTATGGCTCTTGGTAGTCCAGCAACCAGTCTGTTGTTCCATCCCATGGCAACGTCCCCTTGACATTGCCAAGTTCATCGTTGCTGGTCATAAGTTCAGCCATGACTTATCCATTGACAGGTCTGTCTCCGACAACCAATTGACCAGTGCTTAGATACAAGAAACTTTCAATAAGGTAATCCTCATTTGTTTTTTTTCTGAAAAAATTAGTTCAGATTTCAGATTTCTGAAAAATCAGTTTCTATGTTATATCTTGTTTCTTAATCAATGCTAATAATTTAAAATTTCCCTTATAGAAGTTCACAGAGAATTAATTATTTTTATCCCATTAATCCTTGCTAATAATCATGCTTAAATCTTGTATCATGATTTTTTTGCACTGATGATTTTGAATTTTGGCGTATGAGCTGTCAATATTTTGTTACCATTAGTGCCATTGTATAACTATTTTTGAATGAGTACATGTGCACCGTGCTATTTTCTGCTCTTTAGTCTCTTTGTAGTAACAAAGATGCACATTGTTGATTCTGTTCCCTTTATGTGAAATCAGGCTTGTCTCAACCCTGGCTTCTGCAATGTTGTTCTGGGCAACTGTCACCGAGGGACTTCACCGCAGCAAGAACATCCATCACGACATGAATTACCAGTGCCCTACTGCAAAGACCGGCCTGTTTGGTGTCGCTGCTTTCCTTGCCCTTGATGCCTCCCTCTTCTGGCTTGTTTGCCAGATGCTGGTCCTCAATGCAAGGGCTGACTACCTGGACGAGGATGACAACAAGGGCGAATATGGCCAGGTTTACGCTGCTGAAATCGATGGCTCGAAGGTCTGAGCCTATGCAGTCAGCCAGTCATGCTTGTCAGGGTTCAATGATTAGTGTCACTTAACTATATTATGTCATCAACAAAGTCGCTTTAGCTCTCGTAAATTTGTATATAAGTTGGAAAGTCATGCATAAGGCTGGTGGTTATTGTGCATTCAGGTTTCAGTGTGACCAATAAACAGTATTGTCAGTACAATTGGTTTGCTACTTCACATTGTGAGCTTATGCTTGTGCTATGCCGATCTTCTTTGTTCTATGACTAATTGTGGAAGCTTGTTCCAAATATCAGAGTTCTGGTGTCTGAATGGCGTTAGCTACAAGAATGAAATATAATGATTAAATTTCATATAGTTGTAATGTAGAGAGCTTGAGCATACGGCATATCATTGTTTGATATACACTGTAAAATTTGTTACAAACACTGTAAATTTTGAGATACGACATATTAAGTTTGTTTCTGGACATGACAGACTTGATCAATCTGTTCCTGCGTTCATTCCACATTGTAGAGATCCTATAAATCAGGAAAGAGCAAGCACGATCCTAGCCTTGTTCGCTTGGGCTTGTTTGGCTGATAAGCCATGGCTGAAAGTACTGTTGACTGATTTAGCATGAGAAAAAAATATTATTCGTTGACTGAAAAAAATACGGCTTATAACTCAAACAAGGCCGAGTGAACAGGGCTACGGAGTGTGTTATGGCGTCTGGAGATCGTGCTCGTGGCTGGAGACGGTCTGGAGATCGTAGCTGGAAACTCCCGTCTCCGGTCTCCCCGCGTGCAAGGACAGCCGAGCGGCCCAACTGGGGTGAACGCGAGTGTTTTTATTTTATTTTATTTTAATTAAGGTCTGCCTTATTCACGTGGCTTAGTTGGGCCAGCCCATCGCGAGGTCGCCTGTCGCCAAGTCTGTCCACTACTACATCATATAAATTTTATGGGTCTCCTAAATGAACTCACCAACATAGCGTGCTGGCAACTGACGAACCTGTTCGATCCCCAGAGAGACCAATTATTTTTTCTCAGTTTTTCTTTTTTACCCACTGTTTTTTTATCCAAGTCCTAACAGGGGAAGGATTGGTCCCTGCTGCCACCGTCCTCCTTTTTTTTTGCTCAGTTTTTCTTCTTTTTTTTGCTCAGTTTTTCTTTTTGCCCACTGTTTTTTTATCCAAGTCCTAACGGGCAAGGGAAGGATTGGTCCCTGCTGTCACCGTCCTCCAGGCACGGTCTCTGTTTTATTGGCCTCGTTCGCTTGTGTTAAATTTGGTTTGTTCGGCTTATTTTTTCAGCCGGAACAGTGTTTTTCTCTCACAATAATTTAGCCGGAACAGTGTTTTTCAGCCAAAATTCAGACCAGTGAACGGGGCCATTATGTTCCTCCAACTATGCTTGTGATATGGAGTGGAAAAAATCCTTCTGCAGTTTTCCTGAGCGTGTTCGAGAAAAAAATGTTATGTTGGATAAAACTTGAACAAACAAGCCATAGAAGTGTCTAGGCAGGAGTCAAAAATTATTTAGAGGTGCATTGTAGAATATGTTGAGTTCTTAATGTGAACTATTATTCTGATGAATGGCAGTTGCATGAACTGAATGGCTCTACACAGTTTTTTATGCTTTCACGGTAAAGAGCGGATAGGTTTACGACCAAACCAGCAAAGGGTAACTATTGTGCTTACGTGAAGAACGACTAGTTAAGGCAAACTAGCAAACTGCAAAAGTGTCATCGAAGCTCTCATCCCAGAAGGACCCCATCGAGGAAAGGATGCTGGCAGGTTGCCCTAGGTCGGCCAACAAACCTAGAGTGCCATCCCTGGTTGTCAGATCAAGCGATGAACAGCAATATGGAGGTTGGAGGATATTAGGCTAAAAGAGAGGTAGAGTGGGTTGGTTTTTCTTCAATTATGTATTGGATACCCCAATCGTTCGTGATCTACTTATATTTATAAGGACAAGGTGGCTTATCCCACAAGGGATCTCGAGAACTCTTGCAAAACGCATTAAAATCCAACTCAATTCTAGGAGAGCGTCATTCCTTGGTCTGTACTTCAAATTGGGTGTTCTATATATGTTTTTCAATCATCTTAACGAGAGAAACTCAGTAGTGTGATTCATTCTTTGATCTGGGAAGTTTACAAAACCATCTTAGCCGGTTTAGGAAACCGGCTAAGCTGGTTTTTGCTGTTTTTTTTTTCGAATCTGTATTTTCCCAAATCTGTATTGACAACAAACCATACCGGCTAAGCTTGTTTGTGCTGTAATTTCGAGGATCAACCCCTTTTGTTCGTATTTTGTTGTCAATATATGCCTCTCCTGTTTTTCTGTGAGGTTTATGCGAACCTAAAAATATATTAGAGCAAATAGCAATGATGTCCAACAATTAGTCTATTTGTCATCCAATCACCTAAATCAATCCCAAGCTCATTTGGAAAATTTGGCCATGATTTGGTCCTTATCGAGAAAACCAGCTTAGCCGGCTTCAGAAACTGGCTTCGCGTGTTTTCGCAGTCTGGCTCTAACTTGGTTATTTTGCATCAGTCTTCCTTTAATTTGAAAATTACATCCTTTGATGACGTTAAAAAACAATGCTCATTGAGTCAATATGTTAGCCTTAATGTTTGTCAATATGTTAATCTTAATGTTTTTGTGCTTTAACACTACCAAAATAGTGGAATTCTCCAGTGTTTTAAAGTAGTAAAAAAAAACACAATCAATAGTCATATCACATGGGATTCTCACCAGGAGGCATTTGGTAGGAAAAAATTATACTAAATTTTGAATGCTAAAACACTAGAAAAACTTCACCTTACTAGGAGAAATTTAATATTCTGGTTGTGCTTGAAATATACCGAATTTAGAATTCGTCAAAATATATAATGATGTCAAGGCATTTATCAAGATATAGCTTTTAGTGACTTCTCCAAATATTGAAACTTAATTATTGGCCCTTGCTGCACGACCAGCAACGAATCACTAAAAGAAAGAACATGTTTCACGCCCAATGAAATATGAAATGACTAGACTAGCCTAGATAGAAAACTTCATATTTGGCTTGGTTATTGCTGTAAAAGCATTCCAATCGGCAATAAGGCTCAAAATAGCTCCAATGTAATAAATGAATTTAGCACTAACGTGTTGAACATAAGCATGTTGATTTATCATATTATCACATCGATGAGGTGAATTTGTTCAAATAAATTTTATCACAAATATATACACTTAAAATGTGCTTACATGCCAATTTTTAGACTTTCATGATCACGTATAGGTATTATTAGAGTAAAGTGGTCGTTTCTACTACATTTCTCTACACTACTGCACAATACTCAAAACTGTCATGTACACTGCTGAGATTTTTTTGCAAAAAAAAATTAACAGCCTTTTTAATTAACTTATAAGGAATTCTCGATACATCATCATTAATTTGCTCTTTTTTAACAAATTGAGAGCAAACTGATCGGAACGAACTGAACTGATGCACGAGTGCGAATCAGAACCTATAACAGCACTACAGCTACATCAAGGGGCTCATCTGCTTCAGACCACTCATGATGCTGTACTACTGTCTACTGAGGCAGCGATCATCATCAGTGCGCGAAGTAGGTGACGAACAGCGCAGCGAACATGAGCAGGTACGCGATCGCTTGATCAATCCCCTTTGCGTCAATCACCCGCGCTGCCGCCGGTTGCTTGTGCTGCGCCATGGACAGCTGCACGAGCCCGGAGAAGAAGAAGGCCGTGAACAGCAGCACGTATGCCTTCACGGATGCCATTAATTCACAGCTGCTGAAGAAGCTGAAGAAGAACGGAAATGCAAAATGCTCTGCGAAGCTCTGTGATTTGTTTGGAGATGCAAAGGAATTGGAGGGCATGCATGCATATATATAGCGGCAGTGGGCAAAGGAGTGATGAACTCTCAGTGTGCGTTTGATCATAGGACTGAAGGAAGATTTGAAGTTATTGGTCTTGTTCGGCTTACCTTAAATCCGGTTTGTTCGGTTTTTTTTTTCAGCCAGAACAGTATTTTTCTCTCACAACAATTCAGCTAGAACAGTATTTTTCAGTCACTATCAACCAAGTGTGAAGAGAAGATGAATCGGTCAGTCTGTATGGTCTTTCTGGCTCGGCAGGATTGACTGTCTTGGTCGCCATATGAATGTGCTGAACATTTCCATCTCGGCGGTTTTGTCTACTTTAATTTGGAGGATTCGCATGAGTTCGGTGCAGAACGTGAGATGATCGATGTTTTGTGTGCAAGTTGTGAATACAATTCTTTTCGTTGAAATCTTCAGTACGTAGCAACGGACAAATTGAAGCTGCAGAACAATGTTGACTGGCAGATTGGGCCCGGCCCGGCCCGGCCCTGACATTCATGCGATCTAGTATGCGGACAGAATACGTCATCCTGGGTACGCGTACGCGCCTTACACATTTTCGATGGAATGCTACGGAATGCTTGTCCTAAGATTCTTCAAAACAGTAAGACCACTGTTAGTGTTTTGGATCGGGGTCCTCAACTGACTAGTGAAAGTGTACTACGTGTTTCTAATCCCGGATGGTGATGCAAAGAGACACAAGGTTTATACTGGTTCAGGCAATAGATGCCCTACGTCCAGTCTGAGCGAGCGATCTTGTATTCCTTGCACCGAGGTGCTTGTAGTAGAGGCTTACAAGCTAGGCGAGAGAGGGAGCTAGCCCCAGGTCTCTGTGAATTGCAGTGTGTGTTGCTTGAGATGTTGATCTCTCGCAGCGAAGGAGCGTGCGTGTTACAGAGTGTTGTGCGTGGCTTGCACCGGTGTGTGTGTGATCTGATCCGATTTCCCCTCTCTAGGAGCGGCCCCGGTCACTCCCTTTTATAGCCGAAGAGAGGCACAGGGGCGGTACATGTATTTGCTATATAGCGTTTCTATTTGGCAGAAGCGGCATGCCCGAGCCCTGCAGCTTGTCTCTGTGGCGGTATGGTCGGTGGAGCGGTCTTGTCTTTGGTGCACTGGAGCGACGCGCCGGTCACGCCTGATCATGTGCGATGTGGGAGCTCCTGTGGTGGCCCGGCAGGTGTGCCTTCTTCTGTTGGAGACGTGCTGGTCATTGTGGGTTTGACCGGCGCGGAGAGCGGAGGCCGGGTTGATGCGACGGCGCGGGTACGCTGATTCCGAGGCTACAGGGGCTAGGCCCCGTGCACGACGTGGGAGCTCCTCTGCAGCTGGCCGCAGGCGTGGTGGCGTCTTCGCGGGCGACGTGCGGTCCCAAAGACGTCGGTGGCGAGAGAGCCGAGGCCCAGTCGGTGCAGAGGCTGAACCATCGTGGGGGGGCTCGGCGGGTGCAAGCCTCGAGGCTACAGGAACCCGGGAGTGGTTTAGCCGAGGCTCGGAGAGAGCAGTTGGCCTTGTGCGTCGATTCCAAGGCTACAGGGTCCCGGGCATGACTTTCCATGCCGCGCTGTACTTGGAGCAGGGGTTAGGTAGCACAGCGTAGCACGGGCGTCAGTCGTGGGCACAGTGCCGAGCACAGCGGCCGGTAACCCCCGCCCCGTCCTGTCCCGGATGGCAGGGCGTTGATGTGACTTCCGTCTCATCGGTCACTCCGCTATATTGTGCCATCGTGCGGCTGACGTTGTGGGAGTGGTTGAACGCTTCAGATGGATGTGACGTCCCATCAGAGAAGTCGGTCAAAGCGACGATGGGGTTGATGCCGAGCCGGCCTCGAGCGAGTCGGTAACTGGGTGCTCGTCCGAGGCCTCATAGCACGGGGCCTCGGGCGAGTCAGAGAATCGGTAGCTCGTCCGAGGCCTCGTGGCGCGGGGCCTCGGGCGAGTCAGAGAATCGGTGGCTCGTCCGAGGCCTCGTGGTATGGTTCTAGGCCGAGCCTGCTTCGGTTGTGCCTGGATGTTGTTCGAGGTGGGCCGGGCCTTGGATGTGGCGGGTTTGCCTGCGGTTGTATTTTGGTTTTGTTATTTACAAGGTCTAAGCAATTTTTTTCAGTTCTTGCTTAGGGTACCCCTTTTTAAGATATCCGACAGTAGCCCCTGAGCCTTGGGGGGAGTGTGAGCACTCTCCCTGAGGTTTTGACGAGACTTGTCTCGCAGCAGCTCCCGTCGGGATTGTGTTTTGTGCTCGAGGCTCCGGTGGGTGTGCGCGAGCTCACCCGCCGGGTGTAGCCCCCGAGGTCTTGGAGGAGTGGATTTATTCCTCCAGGGGCTTTTTCCCTGTTCAGTGAGGGGTTTTATCACGTTTGCCGAGCCCCCGAGTGCGAGTTCGGGTCGCTGGGCCTCGGCCTGGTTGCAGGAAGAGCCCCCGAGCCTCTGCCCGGAGCAAGAGGGTGGTCAGGAGTTTTCCTGTCTTTTTTGTGCGGCCCTCGCGCATCCTTTTCGCTCAGAAGGAGGGGTGGAGTATGCCAGGCTACCCTCGGTGGGCGAGCAGTGATACCTCCGGTGAGCTGTTATCGGGTAAGTCCAAGTGGAGGCCCGTGCCCCATTCGATAGGGGTCGACTAGCGGTCTAGAGACACGCTCCAAAAGTACTAGAGGGCTTCTCTAGTGGGTCCCAGGGCCGTTCGATTGGCCCTGGGGCTCGGTGCCTCCCTACGGTGGGATCCCATTCAGAGACCTCCCTGCCGGTCTCGGACACGACTTAGGGCATGGCAAGCAACTGCTTGCTTGGGCCTCGGCCATGTACGGGCTCGCCCATAGTCATCCCTGACTCTGTTTGTCCTGGGGCGGCTGTCGAGACCCTCGGGGGCCCAGCCTTCGAACCCCTGGACCATAACGGGCTCGGTGCCCAGTTCCTTAGTCATTTTATCGCATTTGCCGAGCGCCCGAGTGCGAGTTTAGGTCGCTGGGCCTCGGCTTGGTTGTAGGAAGAGCCCTTGAGCCTCTGCTCGGAGCAAGAGCGCGATCAGGAGTCTCCCTGTCTTTTTTGTGCGGCCCTCGTGCATCCTTTTCGTTCGAAAGGAGGGGGGGAGTGTGCCAGGCTACCCTCGGTGGGCGCGAGCAGTGACACCTCCGGTGAGCTATTTATCGGGTAAGTCCAAGTGGAGGCCCGTGCCCCATTCGATAGGGGTTGGCTAGCGGTCCAGAGGCGTGCTCCAAAAGTATTAGAGGGTTTCTCTAGTGGGTCCCAGGGCCGTTCGATTGGCCCTAGGGGCTCGGATCCTTCCTACGGTGGGATCCCATTCAGAGACCTTCCTGTCAGTCTCGGACATGACTTAGGGCATCCCAAGCAACTGCTTGCTTGGGCCTCGGCCATGTACGGGCTCGCCCATAGTCATCCCTGACTCTGTTTGTCCTGGGGCGGCTGTCGAGACCCTTGGGGCCCAGCCTTCGAACCCCTGGACCGTAACGGGCTCGGTGCCCAGTTCCTTAGTCATTTTATCACGTTTGTCGAGCCCCTAAGTGTGAGTTCGGGTCGCTGGGCCTCGGCTTGGTTGCAGGAAGAGCCCCCGAGCCTCTACTCAGAGCAAGAGGGCGATCAGGAGTCTCCCTGTCTTTTTTGTGCGGCCCTCGCGCATCCTTTTCGTTCGGAAGGAGGGGTGGAGTGTGCTAGGCTACCCTCGGTGGGCGCGAGCAGTGACACCTCCGGTGAGCTGTTTATCGGGTAAGTCCAAGTGGAGGCCCATGCCCCATTCGATAGGGGTTGGCTAGCGGTCCAGAGACACGCTCCAAAAGTATCAGAGGGCTTCTCTAGTGGGTCCCAGGGCCGTTCAATTGGACCTGGGGGCTCGGTGCCTCCCTACGGTGCGATCCCATTTAGAGACCTCCCTGCCGGTCTCGGACACAACTTAGGGCATCCCAAGCAACTGCTTGCTTGGGCCTCGGCCATGTACGGGCTCGCCCATAGTCATCCCTGACTCTGTTTGTCCTAGGGCGGCTGTCGAGACCCTCGGGGGCCCAGCCTTCGAACCCCTGGACCGTAACGGGCTCGGTGCCCAGTTCCTTAGTCTGAAAGGAATCAAGTGGGGAATATTCCCTTCCCATCAGCTAACGATAGTGGGTGCGCCTTTTGAGGCGGTTTCTCAGGGAGACGGAACGGTGCCTGCCGTTACATGGTGTCCGCGGATGGGACGTTACCATACGTGCGTGGCTAGCGAGAAAAAGGTGGATGCGTGGGTGGTTTAATCGGATCCACATTAACTGCACCTTATCTTCCTGGTTTTATCGCCCGCTCGTTTGCCTTCTCCCTCATAAATACGTGACGAGCCGCGCCCCTGCCCCTCCTTACCTTTTCTGCCTGCACTCGCACTTTCTGCCCTCGAGCGGTTGCCAGGAACAGTGGAAGAGAGCGTCGGGGAGAAGAAGGGAGAAGGGGGGAGAAGAGAGAGAGAGTAAGCGAGAGCACGTGTTACTGCCGTAGTCGCATTCTCCACCGCACCCATGCCTGGTGGCGCTATTGTCCTCCAGGCGGATCCTTGGGGTCCATCTAACGTGTCCATGGAGACGCTGCAGTCGCTCGTCGATGACGGTCTCCTCCACCCGGTCTCCAACCCCAACAGGCTGGAGTGGATTGCTCCGGGGAGCGATCTGGAGCCGAGGCCACGTGATGGCTACATCATGAGCTTCGTGACCTTCCACGAGCGTGGCCTCGGCTTGCCGGCGGACCGGTTCATGCGGGTGCTCCCGCACTACTACGGCGTGGAGCTCCACAACTTCAACCCTAACTCCATCGCGCAGGCGGCCATCTTCGTTGCCGTCTACGAGGGGTATCTGGGCATTGCCCCCCACTGGGAGCTGTGACTCCACCTCTTTCAAGCAGGGCTCACCACCAAGCCGGCGGGCACGATGGGCACGTGGAAGGCGTTGAGGGCAGGCGGCTGCACTCTCCAAGTGCGCCAAGACCGGCAGCCCCTCTACATCCCGACCCAGCTCACGTCGTCCAACC